CTTGCCATTTTAGCTGCAAATTAGTGGTTGAAACGATCTGTTCCAAGGTCAAAAAACACCTGGTAGGTTGGTAAAGTAGGAATGGTTCCTGAGTGGGGATGTTTTAGGGTCAGCACACATCCCCCTTGAAATGTTTCCTAGGCTTGGATTTTCGTGACCAAAGAGAATTGACCTCAATCTGCTCTTTTCCCTCCGCCTCTTTGATTTTACAGATGGATTTTACCTTGCTGGGCACGCAGGACAAGCTGCCTTGCACGCCCAGGCCAACCCATCCAGGATAGCCCCCAACCCTGCCTCGAGTGCCCTGCTCCATGAAAAGGACTTTGGGCACCCACACAGGACCTCCAAGGATGGCCCCAAAGACCTCGGCGGGAAGGACCGCTCTTACCGAAGCGACCTCTCCTTGTCCCTGGCCAAGAAGGAGGCCAAGCTGCGCGAGGAGTCCCGGCCTCACAGCGTGGTGGACCTCACCCAGGACACCAAGCCGGAGAGCGAGAGGAAAACGAACGGATTCGAAAAGGCCACAACGGTTGGGGAGCGCTTGTCTCCCTACCTGGCGGAACACTTATCCAACCGGGGGGTCTTCAGCGGAGAACCAAAGTCCAAACACCCACTTCAGACCTCTTCCCTCAGCAACTGCAACATGTCCGGAAGCGCCCAGGGCTCCGAGCTGGACCGTTGCCCCAAGGACCTCAGCCGACATGACGAGAATGTGAGGCCTCCTTCTTACGTCTACTCCGATCGAATAAAGAAAGTTGACTCTGCGATGAGTTCGGTAGCCGCCCTGCACGTGGCCTGCAGCTGCCCTTCTCCGGCTCAACCAGGGAAGCTCCCCCCACCCTCGGCCTTCCCTCCCCAGCCTATCCATCCCAACATGTACACCATCTTCCCCTTGACCAAGGAGTCCGGGAGGGAGCACAAGGTCATCGCGCCCACCTTCGTGCCTTCCCTCGAGGCCTACGACGAGAGAAACGGCCCCATTCAGATTGCCTCCCAAGCCCGGGACAACACCAAGCTGAAGGAGAAGGAGGTCCCGGCTGCCGCCCGAGTAGGGGTCCTGCAGGCGGTCCCCGAGAGGTGCCTGACGGATGCTTCTCGCAACCTTTTGGCCCAGGAGTTCTCCATCCATGCGGATGCCAAGCGGATGGAGATCCTGCGAGAGAAAAATTCAGTGATCCGGGCCAACTCCATGGTCTTGAAGAAACAGGCAGCTTCGGAAACCTTCTTGAACAGGCCAAGATTGAACTCCCCTGAAAGCAGGGAGTACCTCCCTTTGAAGGACTTGCCCAAAGCTGGCTTGGAGGCAGAACATCGCTCCTGTGAGCGGGATCGTTTTCAGAGACCCAGCTGCAAAGAAGCGGGGAAGATCTACAGCACTTTGGACACCTCCTCCTCCTCCTCTTCTTCCTTGTCCTCTTCCTCCCGGCCGCATTTAGATCCCAGCCAACAACTGAAGCCCCCTGAACAAAAATGGAAGCCTTTTGAAATGGGCAACTTTGCCACCACCCAGATGGCTGTTCTGGCTGCCCAACACAACCATGCCAACCGGGTGGAGGAGGAAGCCAAGAAAACCTACCTGGAGCCCAGCAACTTACAGAGGTCTTCCGTGGTGGGAGCCCGGAGCGTGGTGGAGAGCCTGCGCCCTTCCTCGCACGGTGAAGGCTCTGCCATGCAAAGCCTCATTAAGTACAGCGGGAGCTTTGCTAAGGAGGCATCAGCACGGCAGGGGGGTGGCAAGAAAAGTCCCTTTGGGGGTCTGGGCAACATGAAGCTGGACCCTGGTCAACAGTCTTCCCCCAAGCTCCAGCAGCTGCTGCCCCACCAAGCCGGCAAGCAGCTGAAAAAGGAACCGGAACGACCTGAAAGTGCCAAGTCTTTTGGACGAGAGAGCATTGGATCTCAAGGAGAGGTGGAAGTGAGACATCTCCCGGTTGGCATCGCGGTGGCGGTGGCCCGTCAGAAGGACAACAGCAGCAGCAAGATGGGGCTTGTGGACCGCGACCGCTCCCTCTCCTTGAGTAACGTTAAAGGTAGGCTGTGGGCAGGGAAGTGTCCAGCTGGGGACACTTGGGACAGTTGCAACTCCTGGTTCAGCCATATTAATTGGGAAATTCTGGGAATTGTTTAGATGTAGCTTCACTCCGGAGCTGAGAAGGTTGGCTAAGATGCAGGTGTGGAGGTTAGGAGATCTGGGGATCTGCGATGGGAGTTCTCCAAATTGTTAGTATTTTGGGGAAAAGTTTGGACAAGAAAGTTGGGAGTGGGCAACCCAGGAAAGTGACCTTTGAGCAAAACAGGTGGTGTCGATTATTATGGTAAAGCTGTTCCTAGGAGAGACTTGAAGTTTGAAAAAAGATCTTTGTTAAAATTAAATCATGGTTAGTGGAAATTACAAAACAGAGAGTGAAATTTAAACCAGAAATCTTTTTATTAGGAATGTTAGAACCCAACATGTACAGAAAATATCAATATTTGATGCTTCATATCATAATGGCAGCCAGAACTTCTTTCGCCCAAAATTGGAAGCAGGCTATGACTCCCACAGAAGCCACAATTATTAATAAGATATATCAATGCGCAGAGATGGATAGATTAACAAAGTTATTGAAGGATAAAGAAGAAGGAGAATATTATAAACTATGGGATGTTTAGTACGAATGGATAAGAATAAGGCACAAAGGCGCCAAATGATTTATATAATGCTGTAAAACCATAAAACAATAAGGCTTTCATG